CGTAATCAAAAAAATTTCTTTCTTTTTTAACCACACATTTCAATATCAATCACTATTTCATAATATATTAATCATAAATAATATGACACAAACGATCACTAATTGTATAATAATTTGGTCATCTCACTTATTTTCGATCATCAAGTTAAATAGTATAATATTTTTTGAATAAAGCCATGGCGTCCCTGTCCCTGACACTGTCCCCAACTCGGGACAGGGAGTAGGGCTGATATTTTTTTGGGTTCATCTTCTGGCCACCTGTTACTGTATCATATCATGCATTTAATAATGGAATGGGGTGGGTCCATTTTTTATTCAACTAATTATGATTTCATTTTCTAGGATATTCTATTGATCTTATTCTTTTCTTTAATAAAAGTGCAATGCCTGCCGACAGTGGAGCCTCACTCAAGTCAAGTCACTCATGCACGATAATAATGTTTTGATCTTTAAAAGAATTTAATTATCTACATGACTTGAAAAACGAGTCTTTCTATCTCACATCGTCGAGGAATCTTTTTCCCTTTTTTTATATAAACTTCAAGTGGGAGCAATAACCGACAATATAGTTGGAATCGAATAGCCTAACTACCAAGACGTTTTTGTTAAAATTGCTCTTAATTTGTCCTGAGAGAAGCTAACTCGACTCCTATATTTAGGCTCTGTTTGGTATCTAATTTTTTAAAAGATATTTTTTTTTTCAACCGCACATTTTTTATTAAAATAATATTATACGTACATAAAAAACTTTTCCTTATTTTTCAACCACGCATTTCCCATTAATTTACTATTCAAGAATGTATTTTTATATAAAAATTTCTTCCAAACACCCTTTAGTTTTCTTTCTAAATTCTTGATTAATAAAACAAAATTTTTTAAAACGTGTGTGGACAGCACAAGTGCCCCGAATTCCCCGCAACTTTGCCCCTGAAATAGGGGAGAATTCAATCATTCTGATATATTGCCCCTGTTTGTAGCCCCATTTTTCAGGAAAAATACATTATTCTGCAGTGTTTTGACATAATTTCAATCACATATTTTTCAATAAAATAATATTATACGCAAATTTAAAATTTTTCCTTATTTTTTAACCACACATATACTCTCTATTTGCTGACCGAAATAAATGAATGAGTAGCTTATGGCGTTATGTTTAGCTGTCTGTTCTCCAATTGTGTAACGTTGCTCCATTCAAGTTTAACTAACTGTCCAAAAGCAAGTGGAACAACTTGTAATTTTCATGAGAGTCGTTCTCATTTTCACAAACATATTTTCAGTAGCACACATATTTTAAAGGACATTAAACATATTCTTCATTATTTGTTTAATCCAATGTGTACAAGACATTGAATCCAATATTTCAATATATCAATTAGGGATGGCAACAGGGCATGTCCAAGACGGAGCGGGATTTTTCCAACCCCGTACCCGCCCGTTACTAATTTAAGGCTGGCGGGGTGGGACGTTTTCCCAATTTACGTACTCGTTTAATTTTTTTAATGTTTTTTATAATTCATTTTATTATCCTTATTCATTAAAATGAGACAATAATATAGTTATTAAAATTTTTTATTTAATTAATTTATTTTTTAAAAGTTAAATTATTCAAATATATTTGATAAATTAAGGGCCCCCGACTTGATTACTTGATTAAGCGGATCATCTGCGTCCTGTTTGAGACAGGGCCCGATCGGTATAACAGGTTTTTTCGCCATTCCTAATATCAACTGACATGATCTTACCAACAACAAAAGGCTTGAAAGATGTGAGTCATTGCACAATTAGTCGTTTCATGTTTTTAGGCAGATCTAATCTAATTTTATCCAAACGTTTATTAATTAGGACAGTTTTAATAAAATCACTCGACTTATAATTTATTTAATGATGGTCTCTTAACTTGGATTTGTTTGAACTTAGCCCCTATTTGATTTGGCTGAAAAAAAGATTTTAAGTAAATTTTGATAAAAGTTGATTAAATCTATAGTTGAAAAATAAATTTGAGGAATATGAGTTTTAAAAAATGAGACGCTAACTCAGCCATTTAGGGTTCTCAACGCACTCACCTAAACCTTTTGTATCAATTAAAATTGTCGATGTAAAGTCAGTAAGTGTCAGATTGTGCATTCTTTCGACCGTATCGAATTGGTCGTTAGCTTTGAAACACTTACTAGAAAAGATGATCAAATTGAAATTAAAAAATATATATAAATTGAGCAACCAGATTCAAACAAATTGAAATTATGTGATCAGTACAAAACAAAATTATAAGTTGGGTGACCATCAAAATGATCTAGTTTTAACTTGAACGTACATTAATTTTCTATTTCTTTGTTAAGTTTTTGTTATTTATATACAAGATCAATTACTCATAATTACAATGTAAAAATTAATAGAAAGCTTGTATTGATTGGAATTACGATATGAGATGCAAATCAAATTTATTTCATTCAATTTATCATTTTGGAGAGGTTTGTTTGGTTTAGAGTCAAATTTTAATTTTAATCACAAAATTTGTAGGTTCCACAATTATTAATCAACTTGTTTATCACTCATTTTTATCAATTCATAATTTCAAGAAATTGTAACTTCTCCCAAAAACCACAATATTGCATTCTATATTTCTTATCTTTTACGGTTTAGTAATTCAAGTAAAAACAAGGTATTGATAAAAAATGAAAAAAAAAAAGTGTTTAACATAAAAATTCATGAAATTAAGAAAGTCAATCAAATAATATTTTTCATTAGTTATATTAGAAACCATGTTGTGACACATATTTACCCAAATTATTGCAATACAAATTACATGCACCGAATATTTTTTGGAGAAACATAATTCATCAATGTATAAATTTTGAAAAATATTTAAAACCACACATTCAATCAAAGTGAAATTCAACTCCATGCATCATGCCATCTAAAAAGACATTCTTAATATCAACAAAAAAATATGCATTACTTGTTAATGTTTCTGGTAGAAGGGTTAAAGTCTTCTATTAAGGATATTTGAATATAAAATCCATGATGGAGCTCATAATCCCCATACATCTCAAGTTACCTAGAAGTTTTCAATTTAAAAAAAATAAAAAAATAGTAACTTTTTACGTTTTCAAAATATTTGCTAAAGTTTTAATATAGAAATTTTAGCCGTTTAGAAGTTATTGTGCATCCCAACTCTAAACTAATGTGTCGAATCGACCACATAGAATTGATATTTTTGTTCCCTTGTAGTATTGAGTGCTCCGAGCCAAATTGCGATGTCAATATGGACGAGTCTGTGATAAGTTCATTGGCTGATATTGCAGCTCACAAGCTAAATTAAAAAATTTCCAGAAAGTATTGTTAAATGGGTTGCTTTTTTGCAGCGTTTATTTATGGGCTGAAAAGGCATCCCATGATATACTGTCAATAGAAAAAAGACGATAACAATTTAGTTTAATAAAAGGGGCTGGTGAAATCATTTTCCCCATTACTTCAGTGTTGTTTATGCAAGTTTTCCAACATAAAGTCATTATCCATGGGCTGAAATCACATTTTGCCATAAGAAAAGCCTTCTGGGCTTAT